CTCACTAGGGCAGTGTAAAGGGGAAGGAGAACCTCCCTCGACCTGCTGGCCACACTCCTCCTAATGCACCCCAGAATGCCATTGGCCTTCTTGGCCGCCAGGGCACACTGCTGGCTCATGGTTAACCTGTCATCCACCAGGACACCCAGGTCCCTCTCCACAGAGCTGCATTCCATCAGAACACCCACCCACTCACCTGAAATTGCAAGCTGTTGTATCTTAAACTGGATGTTTAAACTTGGATTCTCCTCAGGCTTGGGGGCTCCAGACTGCAGGTTCACTATGCCCTTCAGGTTCGGTAGCTTTTGAGGGGTAATTTTGCCAACGTCCCACGTTAACACCTTGTCGAGAAAGAGAGAACAGTAGCAGTAGCTTTCTAGGAAGCAACCTATGACGTCAAGTTCACACCAAGCTTTCAGTTTGCAGGCGAGGTGCAGAAAGCAGCCTGGTAGCCCTGAGAATTATCCCACTGGCTGGCAGATGGCCTGGTTAGGGCTCCTGCAGGTATGGGGGGGGGTCTTTTCCCTCCCAGCATTCTTTTGGCCCTGGCAGCGTTCCTTAGCTGGTTTGTGCCCTCAATACACCTTGTTCCCTTAGTAATGGTGACCGTTGCTGTGGACAGATTGGGTCAGCTGCCATGAAGCAGGGAGAGTAAACAGCACAAAGGCTGCAGCAACTTCAACATGAGAATGAGAAGGACAGAAGCGAGGCACTTGTCAAAAGGAGATTGTTAAGCTGGAATAACTTTCCTACAGGTCACTTGTTTCCCATTGATTCTTACACTTTAAAGATGATACATGGAACCAACTTCGCCCTTTACTCATTCACAAGAGAGATGGGTTTTTTTTTTTTGTTCTACCATAAAAGAAAATTGTTGATAAATGCAGAAAAATCTCAAGTGTCCCTACTTCTACAAACTTTTGCAGTAACAATCCACCTACTTATCCCAACTCTTGAGAAAAACACAGTATAATTTATTGCTGCAGAGAGGAAAGGAGACTTCTAGTGTTTTTGTTGGTTTTTTTGTTTTAAAAAGATGAAGATCTGTTCTTTTTGAAACCAAATGTTACTTGGAGAGCTTTCACTTACAATTCAAATCAACTGCTGACTGAGATATTCCAAGGGCAGCAGAAAGCTCAAAAGCAGGGTGTTAGAGCCAGCAGAATGGTTTGGCTCAGGCTGCATTTCCATGAAATGGTTCCCAGGTACTAAAAAGCTTCAGGAGCTTTAGGAAATGCAGGTCTCAAACGCCAGCTCGGAGGCAAGACAGCAGGACTCCCAAGATACAGTTTTCCAGATCCTTTGTCTTCCTCCCTGCCTGTCTTCAGGCAGATCTTTCAGAAGAGGGCTTTTTGTCATCTCCTGCTCCCTGTGTTTCTGGCTCCCTATTTTCTAGTCTACTGCATTTTCTCCAGATAAATATGTTTTAAAGAACACAGACTGCAAAATATACCATAGGTGAAACCACCAGCAAAATACTGCTGAATCCACTAAAGAAAAATATTAGGAGGGTGAAGGAGCAGAGGAAAAGAGAAGAAGGAAAGGGGAAGGGAAGGGAGACTGATAAAATCAGAACTCACAACCGGTGTGTATCTAAGTTTGAAAAGGTAAATTTTAAAAAGAAGATTTAATTCATAAACATATGCTGAAGGGAAAGTTTTCTGCTAAGTGTGGAACACTGCTCCAGTGCTCTGCAATACGTATGGCTTGCTCTGATGTTGTCTTAGATAGTTAAATAAATAAAAACTTAAGACTTACTTTAGTAACTGGGTCAAACGTATAGCTGCCTTGTGTAGCAGTGAGGTTCATGTTAAGTACGGCCTTTGGCATGTGAACTGTCATGACAACTCCTTCTACTGTTTTCCCCATATTCTGTTTTGGTCCAATGGTAACATCAAATCTTCCTGAAGAACTGTTTTCCTTAAAACTGATCATGTGTTTCACGTACACAGGAATTGCCACCAAGCTGAAAAGAGAAGACAATAGCTGAAGGCATCCTGGCTACTTCTCTGCTCCAGAAAACAAAGCTCTTGGTCACAAATAGTTCTTGGGTTTCTGGCAGGTTTTCAAGCTAGAACCAGCTTGTTTCAAAAGTGGAAAGTGATACTCAGCTCTTCAACATCATTGCTGAACTGATTTTATTAGCAGAGAATCACAGGGAAAAAATATTTTCTTCCAGATCACTTGTCCTAATCCTTTTCCCTCCAGCTATTTATTTTTTTAAAGTAGTCTCACTGAGCCAATTCTCAGAACAGCCACCAGTCAAATCACTTAGTTTGCAAGTATCTCCAGTTTAGACTTTTTTTCAGTATTCTTTTTATGAAGAGCAGAGTCCTCTACGTACACAGAGACTTAGCCACAAAGCACCTAGCAGCAACGACTACCAGGAACGAATAGCCCTATATTACTGTTGTGTGCGGTTTATCCCACCGAAAAATGATTGCTGAATATCAGCGGCTCACTGAAAAACTGTTTTCTTGTTTTAGTGGGGACAGAGCAACTCACGAGAGAAAACCTGAGAACACACATTTTAGCAACAATGCAAATTCCGCCCGTAACAAGGAGAAATCTGCAGTTACTCAGATGGAAAGCGGTAGATGGTACATCTGAACAACTAGTGTGTCCAAATGGAAACGTACTTCTGTGAACTGACACGGTAGGAGATCAACCTGAAATTCCCATCGGGAGGAATAAATGACAGGACTCGCTCGGACTCCCAGCGTTTGAACCGAATACATGGATGGAAGCTGACGTCATCCAGCAGCCGTGGGTTCTGTAAGTAGTGGCAAAGTGGTAAGTGAAATCTCATCAAGTCTGAGCGGTTTGAGCTAGCAACTGAGCTCTACACAGTTCCTATTTCTTAGACTCTTAAGTATCATTCCTAGCCATTACCTGAGACATGTTACTGAGCTAGATGGATTTCTGGTCTGACCTCGTACAGCAGTTTCTGTAAGGGTATTTTTATACACAGACAAAAGCCATTCCAACTTTTGAGCAACGCAGCAACTTCTACAATGTAACGCAAAACTTGTTGTTTTTCGCACGTGTAACACATGAAGTAGTGATTGTGCTCTTAAATTGTTTGAATCTGATTATTCAGAAAAATAAATCCTGAGCAATTAAAATTCCCAAATATAAGATAAATTTACCATGTAAACCTTGGATTTCTGCAAAGACTGTGGAACCTGCAGGGGGAGAAAAACAAAGAAAAACAGACACTTGCCTTAACATTATTATGATGGGCCCAACAAACGTTGTGAAGTGCAGCTAGAGGGCACAGATGACATTTGCGCAAGACTCAAGAACATGCCAAGCACCGATAGGAAAGGTCATTCCAGTTACCTGTGGCCTGGGGAGCTTGCTAAAATATACGAGCCAGAGCAAACAGCTTGTCCCAAATCAGCTAATTATACTTGTGCCAGCTGTTACACAGGACTTGGACTGGATGTGCTTGAACTGGCTGCCAGCAGTGAGCAAGTAAGAGTTTAGAAAACGCAAGCTCTGAATCTTCCTTTCTTTTATCCCTGTTCCCTGTCTCCAGAAAACTAGCAAACCCTGTAGTGGTGCAGGGAAGTTGAAGCACATCAAAACATAGTAAGTTTACGCTATAAAGCTCCAGATAACCTTGGCTTTCACAAGCATGGCTTGCTGAACAGTGGGATTACATATTCATCTTCACGTTCAATAAATGTATAGCAAAAAACCCCCAACTCCAAAGCAAGAATACCAAGCATCCTACCCAGGAAAGGCTCATTTCCTTAAATGCCCTATAAGGACAGAAAGGCATCAGCAGGACTCTGGACTACTTAGCCCTACAAACAAAGGTTATTTTAGAAGATATGTAGAAACTATTGCTGATCTAGTCAAGGGGAAGGAGAAACTGTGGGCTAATACTTTGCTTGAAAAGCAGGGATCCAGTTTCAGATGAAAGGAGCTAACCATATGCCTCTGAAACAAGATAACAGCCCTATTCTAGGGGAGCAACCTTATCTACTTCTTTGTCCCAGTGAAGGTTAGGAAGAAAGACTCTTGGCATTGCTAGTCCCCCAGGGATCAGAGCAGAAACGAGTATCTATGCCTCCTGCAGGGGATCCTCGTAGTACTCTTGGGAGTCCGTTTGAGCTAGGAGAGTATCACAGCTGTCAGGGTGTTCTGACTGTGACTGCCACCCCCTTTTAGTTTCAAGATGGCGAGACTAAGAGCTGCACAATAGCTACTTCTGACTACCCAGTTCAACAGTGGCCAAAGCATTCACTGAATTGGTGTACGGAACCAAAACAACACCGACGACTGCTACAACAGCAGCAAAGAATGAAGAAATCGAAGATTTGCTCCCTGGCCCACACCACCACAAAATGGTGTCGTGCAGTCTTCAGCTTTAGTAACTGACGGCCCCAGTAATGAACAAAACAGCAGGCTCCTGTCCACAGCACAGCTGGTTTCTTTTTTGGATCTTTTTTCCCTACTTCTTGGCACTGGCAACATTTACACAAAAGTTATCAGATTCCTCCTCAGAGTTAAATTTCAGATTAAAGATTTTTGTATTTGAAGATACCATGTTTCATTTACAGAAGAGAAATGTTTCATTTACAGAAGAGAAAGGAGTATTATTATGCTTCATATTATCTGGCTCCAGTTTATATATAATGAAAACAATACGGCCCAGCTATTTCGCACCCAGTTTTGTCTTGCCATCAGAAGAAAGCTAATGAAAGCTTCTGTCTTGCTCACTTGAGGGCCTGCAAGGACTACAGTAAATTGTTGGCAAGAACAATGGAAGATAATTTTCTCATCACATTTAAAACTCCAACTATTTTTTTCCATTGATATCTTTTAAGAGATAATCAATGTACAAACAGAAAACATTTAAGTACAGAGCATTTCTTGTGGATATTCTTGAAGCAGCCTAGAGCGTATCGCTATTTTAAGATGAACTGAAGAAATACCTTTGGGCATGTCATTTTAAATCGTGTATTTCCATTTAAGATATAGATTCATGTATATAAAACACAAGCAAAGAAATGGGTCGGACTGTATTCTCTCTAAACATCAGCAGCTAAATGTGAACACATTCAACAAACAGAAATGGGTTTGCAAGGCATCTTACCTGATTTGTCTATAATCGCATCAATTTCTTCAACGACATCAAAATAGGCTTCGTTGTTTGTGTATTTTACCCCTGCTCTGCGCCAAGGAATGTTGGACAACTGGCCGGTGGGAAGTGTGTCACCCACATTACTACTGCCTTAAAAATGAAAAGGAACTCAAAATTAGTAATTAATTACAAGAGGAATGTTTCAACTGCCAAAATTAAGAATCAAAGCAAGATTTGCTCCCAAGAACTGCAGACTAGAACCTGGAGCACTAATGTTTCATTCATTAGGTGATGTGAATGCACTTCAAGGACGTGTCCAGACTTACAGTTCAGACTATATTTTGCACAGCAAAATACAAGGCTCAAGTCAGCAGGAGGTTTGAGAGGGAGGAGATGTGGGGCTAGATCCTGCAAAGGATTTCATCGCTTCAGTTCGAGACATTACAGCTCCTTGCGAGCGCTTCCCCCTTCTCCTAAGAGTTTTAGCCGGCTGCCTTGAGGGCTGATCTACCAATAAGAGTTGTTATGAAGAAAGACCTGGAAGAAGCCTGAGGGAGGGCACCAAGCCCCTTTGCTTGGGAGCTGTTGTTAGGCTGAGGCTCTCACCCTTGGCGCCCATCTGAGCTACCCTGCAGCAACATGACTGCCACATCGACATCTGACCACGTGCCAAATCGATCCTGGCCCATAGCCTTAACTTTCTGGCTTGACCTGTGTCATCGTGATGGGCCTTCCTGGCAATCGCTGAGCTGCAGAGGACCCTGTTATCATCTGATCCTGACCCACTGGCTCAACTTCTGGGATCCTTAACAGTGATGCCACTGCTCCTGCCTGTCTTGCTGTCACCCTTGGCGCCTGGTACTTCATACCACTCGGTGTGAGAACAGGGCTTCCTGAGCTACCTAAACTGATGATTCTTTAAAAAGGAAAAATATCTTATCACTTCTGTGGCCTGGGTGACTGGTCTTGGAATCCCAGTGTAGTGGAAACAACTCCCTCTGCTAGAAGCAGGTCTCGGGACACGGCCACAGCGCATGTTTGCTTGCGCCCTTTAGCACGACGATTGTGGTAGTGTGTCCTGCCATGTGGGACAGCTTCACTGAGAGGCTGGTGGCCAGCGGTTATCATTTCTACACAACCTGCTGGGTAGGCCCTCTCCTAGCAGGCGGAAAACAGAAGCTTTCATTCTTTACTCCCTCTGCTAGAAGCAGGTCTCGGGACACGGCCACAGCGCATGTTTGCTTGCGCCCTTTAGCACGACGATTGTGGTAGTGTGTCCTGCCATGTGGGACAGCTTCACTGAGAGGCTGGTGGCCAGCGGTTATCATTTCTACACAACCTGCTGGGTAGGCCCTCTCCTAGCAGGCGGAAAACAGAAGCTTTCATTCTTTTAAGCTAGCAAAATACCACACAGAGAAAAACTTCCTCCCTAAAGTCCCATCCTGGTGCTATAACACGTCGGGGAGGAATTGCAACCATTTCCTCACTGCCATTGCATCTCTGAAGGGCAGCAGTTGGCTGCCAGGCTGCCCTGGGCAGGCGCTTTCGGCTCCTAGGGAATTCTAATAAGGCTTTAGATAAAACTAGAGGATTTGATGTTGCAGCCCTTGGCTTCAGGAGTCTTAATGCCCCTTAGAGTGGTGCATCTAGTCCATTAACATCATAGATATTTTTCGTAAGTATAACTACTACCATTCAAAACCACATTAAAAACAAACACAAACCCCAAAAAGCAGATGTTAAAACTGATGAGATTTATACTCAAAGATTAAACCACATGTGCTACCTCAAAGACCAACTCCTCCGAGCACTACCTCTGTATGGCCCTGCAGCCCCCCTACTACCCTTCTCTAACACAATGTACAGAGGAACATCTTAGGTATCACTGACCCCATGTGACACTTCACAGCCTTGCTCCCTCACAGCCGCCTGCCAGACAGGCAGATTCCACCAGCTCAGCTGACAGACATTTGGCTCCATCAGTGCAAGACATACCCATTCACAACAGCCTGAAACCAGCTCCGCACTTGGTGGATGCTGATGGTGGTGGGGGTAGGGAGGACGCTGACCACAGGTTGCTTGCCTCCCTTCATGCTATCTGTTCCCAGCCAGCAAAGATTTATTAAGTATGTTATATACCTTTCTATAATGATTTCTTATAGAATGCATAACCTTCTCCAATGCCCCTTGGTTATTCAAGGCTCAGGGTGAGTGAGCTCTGTACCCATCCCAGAGCACCTGTCTCCAGTAAGCACTGTCGGTGCTGGGAACTGGTGGTCCTGAGGGACTTCAGCAACTGTGGTTGGACCACGCAATGCCACTGGGGATATCGCAGGGGTCAGGCATAAACTGGAAATAAGGAGGAAGTTGCTTTTATAAAACTCTTAACTGTGAGAAGTGGCAGGACAGTGGCCTCGCCTTACAGATTCACATCAATATGATGTTATTTTTCAGCCACGAAGCATGATGGGGCTTTGTTTTAAAGCAGCCAGTCACCGCTGAAAATTATTTCTTTTCATACCTGTGATGGAGTTGACAACGGAGCGCAGAATTGTGGGAGGCTTAATCAGCTCCTTCAATATGTTAGATTCTGTTGCCAGTGGAAAGCCATTGTCTAACATTTCTTCTAGAAGTTCATACACAATAACTACATTGTCTTTAATTGCAGTCTCAGAACATTCGCCGAAGTAATCCTAAACAAAACAGAGATTACAAAGGAGAGGATTTTTATTCCTGTTAAAATACTCCGCAAAAGTTTGGTTTTTTTGCTTATAGAAACCCCCTAATATATCAAGGAATTTTAGTGCCTAAACTGACTAGCTACTTCTACAGTCTGATGGCATCATATATTAAGATGACATTTATCATCTAATTAGAAATAAAGACAGTGAGCAGTGAAAGGAACATAATTTGATTTACTAGTATATATGTCCCAAAGGTCCTCCCACTTGTCAACGTTAACACATCTTCAGTTAGAAGACTCTTGTAAAAGAAGGACACTGTCTTTTGGCAATGCTCAGTCTTCACAGAGGTTCCTTTATTTACACTGTCTGTGAAACAGGCTGAAAAGTGACTCAGGCTTCGCAGCTCCTTCCTCCCTACAGAGTGCTTCTTGTCATCTATATAAAATGAACAGTATAAAAACTTACAGAAAAAAAGACAGCATTTACAAAGTGGGATCTGGGGTTTAGTGCACGTGCACTGGTAGCTATGCATCAGATGAATACACAAAATATGCCTTCTTTTCCTTTGTACTCTGCAAACCAGCGCTTGACTTAAAAATTGCAAAGGGGAAAGTCACTGACAGGAGGGTTTATTATCTTTCTTTAAAAGAAGCTTTTAAAAAAAATTCCCTTGGAATTATTCCAATTTTAAAGTCATTTAATGGTGACAGACCTGGAAAGTATCTGCTACTCGGTGCAGAAATTCGATTACAAAGAGTGGTGGCACTTCTGTCTGTATGACAGACACAAAGAAGATTTTATCCCGATAGATGCTGATGAGGTAGTGATGCGGTGTTGAGATGACAGGAGGCACATTCTCAACATCGATTGCTTTCTCTTGAGCTTCGAAGAAATAATCACACACAGATTGGCTCACAACGCTTTTCCAGTGCTTCTCCAAGAATATATCACCAGAACAGTTTATAAGAAACAGGCTGTGGATCATTTTCTGTTGGAAACACATTCAAATAAGTTAAAATAAACAAAACGATATGAGGATTGACATTATTTCTTCGCCCAGATTCCCTTTCTTACAACGGTTATAGTTTATCAACACACACTGTGAATTTAAGAAAAAGATCTGCTTTGCTGCTTTTCTTTAAATTGCATTTTCTTTATCCAGAGGGATGTTCCACCACAAAATATTTCACAGTCAATTAAGTCGCTAGCATATATCACAATGTAAGCAAGAAGCCAGCACCCTTGATTTCCACTTTCATTTCTATTTGGTGTTTGTAATTTATTTCTTAAAGATAAGCTGACTCTCATGAGTTGCCACTCAAACATGTTTGGCAACACATCAGGGTAACTTACACATAAAGTTTCCTATGGCAGAGGCGTTTACCTAACATTTACACACGTAACTAAGAGCTGCACAATCATAAAGATATAGCTCTTCAGCTTGTCATTACCTAACATTTACACACATAACTAAGAGCTGCACGATGATAAAGATATAGCTCTTCAGCTTGTCAGCTTTCAGCTATTTAACTAGAGAAGTGATTTTTATTTGCTGGCTTCTGATCTATGTCAAGCTGCACTTGGATAAAGGGTTGGAATTCATTAAAAGTACACAGAACTAGGAACTGAAATCTCATTTAATGAATAAAATTGCCTCAAATGTGCTTGATGCATATCAAATATGTTTACATAAAATGTTTTACACTTAAAAACTCACTCATGAAAAAGGGGAGTATGAACTGCAGATAAGGAATGTAACTGTTTTTTCTTATATCTTTAAAGATTTACAAATAACATGCCTCAGCCACTGATCCTTCATTTTATTCATGGGACAAGAAGCTTATCTGTGTTTCTTTAAAACTAATTCACAGTCTATTTCCCAACTTTCAATGAGATAGTAAGTGAACCAAGTTGTTGATTCAAATGAAGTGAATAAACTTTTCTCCACATCTGCAGAAGAGACAAATGCTGTCAGACTTCTGTTTATTTCTTTAGCCTTTACATGAGACACATACAATGCTTCGGCTGACCATCCTCTGACAAAAATAAGGTCCAAGTTTATACTCAGGCTTAGAAAACAAAATAAACAAATTGTAACCCAAGCACTGGCTCCTCCAGGTGAAGTTAACCCTGCATAAATTCACTCTGTAGTTGAAGAAGCTGCCCCTACCACTGGCTATTCATTCCTTTTGCCTTCCAGGTATTGATTTGAGCAGGTCTGTGGCTCTGCAATTAACTATATTAGGAAACTGCTTCAGCCATAAATTGACCCAGAAAAAGGAGCTTTTGGTCAGATCAACTTTGTGATGCAAGTTATTACATTGCCAGGGAGTGCTAGAGCTGGCGCGGAGGAGGTGGTGGAAATGGGCAGATGACAGCAATGGAGATACCCCACACTGAAGTTTATTTAGCCTTTGGAGGAATTCAAACATGACTTGAAAGAGACCAGTTACTGGGCATCTACACCTTGAAAAAGGAAGACCACCATCAACTCTGCATGTCCGAGAGAAGCCAAACACATCTACCAAAAACCTATGATAGTCTTCATTAATCTTATACTGTTTGGCCAAGATTGTGCCATAAAATGCAGATAAAATTCGCTCCTTCGCTGATGTTAACTCTGGTACACAAATGTGAAGATGGCACAGAAGCATCTAGATGTAAATGGCCCAGTCCCACAGAGATTTTAAGAAGTCCAAACACTGTATAATTAAACCGTATTCCAAAATACGGGAACAAACACCTAGCTCCATCCAGAGTGAGCTCTTGTTGCTCTGTGTGAATCTGAACTGCCCAGAGGACTAGGCTGACCTCCCAACACACTTGCAACACGGAAATATGGTGCGGCCCTGCAGATCTTGACGAAACAAAAGTATGCCTTCCAAAGCTCACCAGAGAAGGTGAAAAAGGACTACTAAGGAAGGTAGCTAGCATGCTATTTCCCTCCACCTAAGTCAGCAGATGTGGGAAGGGAGCCAAGACCCAGCTTTTCAAATGCTGAACTCCAGGTGCTCCTTCACATGCATGACAGCAATGTGCTCATCTTCGCTGGGGCCCTGCCAGGTCTTAGATACCTCCTGCCAAGAGCACACTGTCTTTGAGGGTAGACACAAAAAGACCAATAGTCAAAATGTGGACAGAAAAATTCACCTAAGCCAATACGGTATATAAGAGGAAGTCCTTTCGGTTAGTCTGATTGCCGAGTTGCTTAAGAGTGGGAAAGGAGACAAAGCTACAAAGTGTTATTGCGTGTTTCTACTGTATTTCTCCTGGACCAGATTAATCTCTAATTTAGTTTGTTAAAAAACACGACAATTTTAACACTGTGAGCACAGTGTTCTTATAAAGAAGCCTTGACACAATTGCTTTAATCCAGTTCAATGAAACATGTTCTGAATTTAGCCAGCGCTGGACATGAAAACCCTCCAAAATCTCCTGGATAGTCACACAACGGTGTCAAGTACAATCAACTATTGAATGTCAGTATTGTTCCACACTAGGGCAGCCCAAACATATGAAGGTGATCAGCTATAAAGCTTAGAATAGTTCTCTGTACATTTTAATGTGGATACAACAGCATATCTGTTAACAAATGTAAGACCCGATTCCTAGTAAACGCACACAAGGCTGCACAGGACAGTTTCAGTACAAGCAACACCAGTAAAACTCAATTTCCAGAGGACTTGACCTACAGCCCACTGTGGAGAAGCTATGCTGGACCGCAGGCAGCTTCGCATGATTCTCTGACTAAGCAGATCAGACACAGGTGACGGTGTTTTCAAGCCCTAGCAGTTGTCCTGCTGTTAACGCTCATACAGATTTTGTTGATCAGAAATGACTGCATTTGTCTCGATACACTTTTAAGAAGCACAGCCATGCAGCAGGCCAACATAATCGCTACCTAAATACAGCCCTGAGCAGTAAAATCCCACCTAGCTGCCTATCCTGTCTTCTGGGTAGGAAGATTGGGACTACAGGATTTCCCATGATATGTTATTATTCTGCTTCTAGTATAAGAGTTCCCTTCAAAACCCCTCACATACTCCCTTCCTCCTTCACAAGTTTTAGCAGTACATTAATTTGCTGCTGATGTGAAATGCTCTGGAAAACCAAAGCTCTCTCCTTGCAGCTGAAGAACAGAGCAGGCAGACCCACGGGCACGAGCCCTGCCCTGTCAGTCAGCAGGCAGCTCAGTCTCTATGCTTCCCAGTGCTGACTGTAATAAAGCAGCTCTCGTAGCAGTGGGGACACCAGTCTATCATACGCAAGACTAAGTAATTTGATTTATCCCCCACGCTGTCAAGCAATTGGCATGAGCCAATTAAAGATGGATTTCATGGTGGATATCTTACAACTGGTACTACCGCAAAAATATCTTATGTAAGCTATTATTTAACAAAAATTACTTGCCGTGCTCTGAATACTGAAGATTTCCCTGCTACTCAGAGTGTCAGATTTCATTTCAGACATACAGACATCCTGAAACTCATTTCTCAGTACCTTACCTTCTTCTCTCTCATCAGAACATTAGATTTGCAAAGAAAAAAAGACAAAAAAGTGCTGAACATAAGAAATCAATCTAGTAACAGTAAGATTCCTCTGACCAATAGGTCAAGTTCATATTTGTGGCCAAACAGCAAAGCATGTTAAGAGCTGCAGCACTTTGAGGGTAAAGGTCTTTAATCAAAGTTACTAAGTTTAAAAAAGCAGTAGCAAAAGCACACCACCAAAATTTAAGAATCGTGAGAGTGCCTGTGCAGCAGCATACACGTACACCACTTTGAAATGGCAGCGTAAAACCACTCTACGTAAAATACCGAAGATGTGCTCCTAGGACTATTTCAAAAGGACAAGCCTCCCATCTCTCTGCTTTTAGGCCTACCTAAGAAGCAGACTGAAGACGTACGTGGACTATTATTTGCATCTTTCGTCCAGCGCAAGCCATTCAAGCTCATTTTTAGTAGGCTGACAGCTGTCCATGCTGCTGCCTGACTGAAAGGCATCTTACAGGCACTGCAGCAACAGCAGCCCAGCAGAGGTTCTGCAGCTTCTTCTCACAGGCTTCCTGTCCCTGCTCTGACTCATGAAACTCCACACGATTCTTTGCAGCCATTTCCATCCTACCAGAATATGAAGTCCTCACAGAAGAACTAAGTATTTTAACTAAGGCGCCTTCAGTACGCTGTTTCCAAGTCAGTATCTTCTCTTTTGACTAAATCTGGATTTTGCAATGTTACTGTTTTTTCAATCTCTTGGCACAGAAACATCTGGACTGAAGTCACAGCAGTCTTACAAGACAAAAGTGGAACTCATCAGCAAGAGGGAGAGGCTGCGAGCATGGGAAAAAGACTGATTGCACACGCTTGTCCTTAAGTCCTCTGAAATGTAATTAATGCAGACATACTGTTACCAGCTGCTTTTCCATAACACTGAGCTGAGTTACAGCCAAGCTCTGAAAACCAGGAAGCGAGGAATCTTTCCCTGACCTCTGCCATGCCCTTTAGAGCTAGTAACAATCACAGCTCAAAACGGGACCATCACCAGGAAAGCATTCCACGGCTTCCATGTTCCCTCCATGCGGCGCAGCGGCTCCGAAGGGTGGAGGGATTAGCAGGGGGTGGACTGTCTGAGCCTCCGTTAACGTATTTGTCGAAATGAACTAGTCACAAGCGAACGGAAAGTAAGCAAATGCTTAAAGTAATCTGGAGAAACAAATAAGCTAAGATAGGCAGCTCTATTTCTGTGTTCAAGCTGGTATTTTTGTCACAACCAGCTGGTTCGTAGTTTAGCTTTTTCCTATAAATTCAAGATGTGTCCCAAATGCGCCACAGATGCGGCAAAACTAGACAACCTGTGCTCCCCACCTCCCCAACCCCATTCACCAGCTCTTATAACAGCAACCCTAATGAAGAGAAGTCCTATTAAATACCTGACTGACATTTTCAAGACAGCCAGCGCAGCAGCTCTGAACAGACGTATAACTGG